TTCTCTTTTCTGCTTTATTAAAAATAAACATTGCTTTAACAATAGAAATAAGTGGTCATTACAGAAACTACAGAAATTTTTTCTTAAAACAGTATGATCCATCCAGAGTTGAAGATTGATAATTCTATATTTACTCCATCTTTTTTCTACACACTTTATTTTATACAATAGGGAGCAAACTGTGTGTTACTACATACTACTAATTCTTGAATCTAGGCTCTATGGTCACGTAAAGTTAAGCATCATTTTTATTGCTTAACATACCAGTATTTCATGGTAGAATACACGTTTTTAAATAATAGGGATAGGGTCTCCCTATGTTGCTAAGGTTGGGCTCAAATTTCTGAGCTTAAGCGAACCTCCTACCTCAACTTCCCCAAGTGCTGGAATTAGAGGGGTGAGCCATTACACCCAGCCTACCAAAAAAAAAAAAAATTGAAACAATTTATTAATTTATTTCTCTGCTTCCTCCTTTCCATCCTCTGCTTAAGCAAAGTGGCTCTGTGCATATTAAAGTTAGGTTTATGTCATGGCAGAAGAATCTTCAGACACAATTCTATTCCTAAAAAGTACAACAAAGAGGTTTTTTTTGTTCTTATTCTTGTTATTGCTTTTTCAGTGCATTTAAGGAGAGAAGGAACATCTCTGAGGGAAGCTTGGAGTTTCTTTAGACTAAAGAGTAATAACTAGGGATGAAGAAAAGAAGTCAGAGAACCTTGGATTTCATAAGAAGAGACCCAGGAAAGAAGCAAGTGCCAGACTGTCAGTTCCTCGGGACTGTGGCCATACCTCGGAGAGGGTGGTGCCATTGTGCATTCTAGGTACTGTGACAATCCCACTAGGCATTCCAGGAATGCAAACATTCCAGGGAAGCAGTAGTCAATTGGCCAAGAAATGCACTGAATTACATTTGTTTGTTTTAAATTTTGATCAAGGATTGGTGAATGGAGGGTATTCCTCAATGCCTTTTTGCACTTTTGAAGCACAAAAGTCTTCAGAAGTCCAAAGAACAATAGAAGTTTTCTTTCTTTTTTTTTTTTTTTTTATTTCCTGCTGAATTTATCACAGGATAAATGTAATACAGTACAGTAGGATAAGATGATTTCCTAACATATCTAATCAAAAAACATTAAGTAGGAAAAAAGACTAAAATGTAGCCACCATGCTTCATTAAAGTACAAATAAATTCAAAAACTGATGAACATGATTAGCAAGAAGAACATGGCTCATGATAAATTGTACTTTTATGGAGGATCAGGAACAATGAGCCAGCTTTAACTTCAAGAGTGTTAGTTCCAGAAATGGATTCAGGCTGCTAATAACTGCATATGTACAAAAAAATTGAAAGGGTCATCCTACTAAAGAACAGTAAAATGTAGTGGTTTGAAGCCATCTTCGGTGTGGTGCATTTTTACCACGGCTAACAAAGGGAGATGGCAGGCAGATGAGATGGGAAGTGATTCAATGTTTGCAAGAAATTAGGGAGAATGCCAGAGGGAAAAGATAGAAAAGGATAGAATGAGCACATTAAAATTAACGTCAATTTTGTTCAGGTTTACTCCTCAGAAAACTATAAAAAACTTAATGGCTAAGCAATCCGCTGGTTTTCATCACAGCAATGTCTCGCTTTAATGATCTTGAACTTTTATGATTCTGTTGTTGATGTTTGATAACATTTTGTTCCTACCTAAGCAAAATTGGTTATCCTTTGGCTCTTCTATAATGATGTAGTGGCATGTGTCAGATCATATGTATGTACAGTTGATATAATGCTGAATATTCTATTAAAAAACAACAAAAACTAGAGGTTATAATTTGCCTTTTGTTTCCAAATAGATGCTCATAACAATAGTTTATAAAGGTAAAAGAATTTGACACTTCTTATAAAAGAAACTTTTTAGAACCAAGCATCCTAGAAACTCCTCAGTACCAAGAGGCTGCCCAGGAAATCTGGAGTTTATTATGTGTAGTATATGTGGAAGATTGTGAATTATACACTATCTTCTATGAAGGAATACAGTCAAATGCATTCATCACCTGGCATGAATATAGTAGGAATGGTGATGACTGTGGTGACCTGGAGTTCATGTGCTCTGTCTAGATGGAGAAAGCCTTCTCATCTCTTGTCAAGTAGTTCTATTTACAATGAGATACACAAAGTTTTCAGATTTTTCAATTGTTTAAGACAACGTTGGATGAATTTTTGTGTGAAATGTCCTCAGTTTTGAAAGGATAGCCACACCAAACAAACCACTTTAGCAATGGTTTTTAAACAGTAAACACGAGTTTAGCAGGAACTGAACCATAGTGTGGGGGAATAGAGAAGTGGGTATGTATGTGGGGCTTAGACTATCTTTCAGTGCAGATCATTTTTATTTACTTGAAAGAATGGGCTCCAATATTAACAAAGTTGAAAAATGCTGCCATATTGGAAAAAATAAACATTTGATTCCAACAAGACTGAATCACCATTTTAAATTCATGTATCTCTGAAGTTTAACCTACCTTGGGATAGTCCCTAGGATGCCATCTTGTTTTCTTCCATACCTAGTTTAATAGCTCTTACTATGGTACATTCTTAACAATAGCCAATTTCTCATCTAACATTCAAGAATAAAGGCATGGGTATTAGTGGGAAAGTATTCATTTTTTATAAAAAAAATTACCATTTGTCTTTACTTCAAATGATGTGGTTGAAATCAACTTAATCTGAATGTCTTTCTAAAGGTAATACTTAAAGAAAAACATGCACCTTGATAAACATACCAGCCAAAACAATATATCTTCCTCCAACTGTTCTGAGTGCTTCCAAAACTGACCAAGAAAGTGGAGGAAATACCTTTCTTCTAGTAATCTAATTACTTCCCAGAAGAAAAAGGAAAGTCAAATACCTCAATCACCCACCAATATTAGAAGAAGTTTTGCTCTTCTAATATTAGGGTGGATTGTGATGGGGTTGAGTGCTGAAATCACCGTATCTTAGAAAAGTAAGTTAAGAGGTTAAGAGGATTAATCTAACACTAACATGAAATATCATGTCACATCCATGGGGAATAGGTGAAAAAGACAACCTTTTATTTTCTAGTTACCTAGCTATTCAAAATCATAATTTTTATCAAAGTTTTAGACATATGAATTATAATATCAGACTTTTTCAGAATATGGTTACAAGAAAACTTAAATGTCTTCTATGTGTTATATAATTCTCAACATATCCTTGAAATTACAATGCTTTATACTCTTAAGATTCTGTTCAAAATAGTTCTCTATATTTTGTGCTTATATAACATTAAATGAGTATTACATTACTCATTTACATAATGGCAATTTATAAACTAAAAATGAAAGCAGCAGAAAAAGTTTTAGTTCATAATTTTGAATTTTAAGTTTAGATACTTATAAACACTAGAGGGATAATTTTATAGGTAGTTAAATATTTTGAAAAGATATAGGCAATACTCCTTTCACAAAAGAAGTAAATTAAAAGTCACTATAAATATGTTGTCCATCAAAAGACAATATTATATATTATAAGCACTTGGAAGTTTTAATTTCCTTAGAACAATCTGCATTTACCCCAAAACTATTGATCTCTCAGAACTAGTTAGAGAAACTAACTAAAATAATTGTATTTATATTAGCTTTATGTCAGCAGATTCTGAAATATGTCTAACCTTTTTTAACTTCTGTTAAAAAATACATTAATTTTCAAAGACTGTAATCATTGTCAATATATTAAAAAGAAAAAATGGTTTCTGGTGAAGTTTGGAGGAGTCAACCAAAATCTTGTTACAGATATGCTTCTTTGGTAAATTTGTTCCACATACCATAAAATGGTAACATCAAACTTTGTAGTATTAGTATTATTTTCTCATTTATCTGTATAATAATAAAGAATGTTTCAATAAATAATGTAATCAGAATATCATTCCGTATTTAACAATTAGCAGGTATAGAAAGGGACTTCTAACAAATATTTGACTCTTATTAAGCAAAAAAGGATCCATAACTAGAAAAGTAAATACTCTTATTTGAATTCATAGCCTTCTATAATTATCATTTCAACAAGACAGCAATACTCAGTATATGAAAATCCATGCCAGCAACTGTACTAGGTATAAGCAATATAAACTTGAATAAGATACAGTCCTTATATGAAAAATAAAAAAACATAATAATTGTATGTTAAAATACTACAATCATAAATGCAATAATCTTAAAATGTGCACCTGTCTTTAAACAAAACTATACTGAAATAAGTGCACTTAAGTACATCATCCCAACATTTTAAGTTTTTTCCTCAGGCTCTTGAGAATTGTTTTTATTTATAATAATACCAATAATATCTAAATACCCCAGTAAAAACATAAAATAGTTGATCTACAAGCTTTGGCTTAAATGGAAACATCTAATCTTAAGTGGCAAAACAAGACTTCATATTTGTTATGTATATAGCCTCCCAAACTGAAAAAAATGCCACCAATCATACCACATACTTATTTTCATATTTACTTGAATATTTATTAAATACAATACGTTTGGTGGAATGATTCCATATTTCAACTCTTGATTTTGACTCTTATTTTAAAAGGATTACATCATTAATTATTGGTAACCTAGCATTGCTAATGAAAATTTAACCATTAGATGAGGGCTGAATATTTCTTTCTACCCTTATGAATTATATTAATATAATTAATATAAACAAAATATGTAAAACCTCTAACTCATGTGAATCAACCTATTACAATAAAACCCCACCATTTACATGTAAGACAAACAATCGTCCCATAAAGCAGTAATTTTCATTCCAAACCTTTACCTTTAGTTAGCAATAGAATGACAATAGAACACACACATGAAAAAATGATTTTAAGATTTGAAATCAGGGCTTTGAAGATTAAAGCAGTTCACTTCACCATCTACACATAAACTATTTTAAACTATTTATTAATTATCCTAAAATTTTTATAAATAATGCTTTCTTGTTTATTTTTTACCTTGAAAGGCACTGGCTCTTCGGTAAGAGGACTAACAGGAAGTGACGTGGTACTGCTTGCTGGACTCATGTCCGTACTCTGCAAGGACAGTGAAATTGAATTAAATAAGGATTGTTTTGTAGTCATTTTGATTATTCATAATTTAGAAAAAATAAATAAATAATTAAAATAAATAAATAATAAGTAAAATATGAATGTAAAAATACCAAATTTAATGTTGATTTAATCATAATTATATAATAAATCCTTCCTTATATAGAAACAATTATCTGGGAAATTAGTCAAATTATCACTCTCCATGTATATTTTAAGTGTATTTTATCAAACATGATGGCCATTTTTTGTGTTAGGGTGGTATTTATTATCATCATTGCTTAATTAATATTTAACCTTTTTTAAAATTAAACTGTAGCTGTAATAATTCATTATGTTGCTATTTCAATGTATTTCAGACTGATTTTCAGACATGTATTACAGTTTTTCTTCTATAAAGATCTAAATCATTGCAACCATTTTTTCATTATGTAAACCAATCTGCCACAATATACAATTACAAACTGAAAAATATTAAATTTTTTAAATTCCTAAATTCATAGCCCCTGACATTTTACCTTTCTTTTATTCTGCTAAACAAAAATGTAAGAATAAAAGATTTACACAAATGTAAGAGAATGCCTGGATTATTGCTAATGGCTGTTTTTCTAGTCTTTTAAAAATACAAAAATTAAAACTTATTTAATGTGAGATTAGCCTAAAAAAGAGATACCAGTTAGAAGTTCATCATTAATTTGCTTTTCTAAAAGCAAGAAAAAGATACTAATAGTAGGTAGCAACAGAAGTCATTTTATTATATTCTTAACACAGTCTCTCTGAGGGATTCTCCCATATGCAAATAAAACAAAAGAAAATAAAACATTGAAAAGAATATATACCCACATTTTCAGCTTGGTTTCTAAATATATGTGCAAACACACAGAAATTTTGCAGTGAAGATTAAAACCAAAGAATGAATTCACCTCAAGTGAGATAAGGATATCAATAGACAAGTTTGACTCACTTAAGTTTCAGCAAAAGAACGCATTCAAAGCATAGGTGCTACCACCGTTACTTATTCTTAGAAACTTTCTATTCAAGGATTATTTTCAATTCACTGTATTCGTATGCACAATAAACTGGACATATTTTAAATATCCATTAAGTTGGGACTGCTTGTGACTCCCCAGTCCAGAAACCAAGGATAAGAACTATAAACACAGGAACCAAGATATTCAGCATAATGTTAATTTAACACATACCACACCTATTTTGGAAATTGATATAAGGCAGTGCATTGAGTAAAAACGTCTAAAGAGGGAAATTAGGTAAAAATTGGACAATAATTTACTAAAGGAAGTAGGAAAATACATGCACCAGATAATTGAGGTGAGTTAGTTACTGACTTTAATTTCAAAATTTTTCCAGAGTTCTACACCATTTATTTGATCAAAACCAGGAAATATTATGAATTGCTGACTCTCGCTCTCTGATTATATGACATAATAGAGAAACAAGGCTGGTCTTGCTAACTAATTACCGCAGGATGTTAACATAAGACATGAATGAAGCTTTATGCTGAAAAACACGGAAAAAAGACTCTTGAGCTACTTCTCTTAAAGTTGGATTTCTCACAAGAATTTAAGCAAGAAACAGGACACAGTTCATTCATAGTTGAATTATCTGATATTTACCTGTAGTATAGACAGCCTGCATAGCTTACTAAAGTATCATACCCTCAAAAATTATATATTTAGGAGACATAGATGACATTCATTTGTAAAAATTGAAAAGCCTGGATCACAGTCTTTCCAATGAAGGTTTAATTTTCATAAGAACATGAGTGCAAAGTCAAGGTTCATGGTAGACTTCTTTAAAGGTTGAGATTTCCCACAACTTTCCAGACATTAATGTATAATTCAAAGGATAGTAAAAAGCAGACTCCAAATTTTACATTATGTAACACTAATTCTTTGAATGTCATTCTAAGAGAAAATTGTGTTCTAGCTATAATTTTCAAATCAATCTTAAAGTGTGACACCTTAATTCTACTGTTCTGAGGACATATTGAGATAAATATTTTAAAAAAACAAATCCATCTCATATGACAACATCTGATAAACTGTACTTAGTTATCAAGTTGAGAAATACATAAAGTATTTTCATGCTTATCCTACTGTTTTCCCATTTGCTTTTCAGTGATCTGTAATTTAGGTGTCATTCCAATTTGCTTATTCTTTTAGATAAAATACTATTGTAAACCTTTTGAAGATAAGTCTTATCCATATTTCATATTTTAATCCATTTAGTCTTCCATTCGATAATAGCAATAATGATACAATTTAATATCTAAATGAAATACTTAAGTTACATTTGATGTTTTAAAAACTGATGATTTTGTTAATCCACAACTTTCTTCAAAAAATGTTCTGTCAGAATTATGGCTTCATCTGCTTTTGATAGATTCCAAATATATCAATATATGTAACTATATATATATATCCATATATGTAACCACCACCAATATCAGATGCAGAACATTTTCGTCACCTCAAAATGTTCCCTCATGGGCCTCTGTATTCAACTATCCCCATCCCTGCTCCCAGGAAAAATGGTGTGCTTTCTGTTACTAGTCTGCTTTGGGCTGCTCTAGAATTTCATATAAATAGAAGTGTATAGAAGTGAATTCTTTTGGGTCTGGCTTATTTCACTCAGCAAAATGATTCTGAAATTCATTATGTTATATTGGTGCATATTTCAGTAGTCTATTATTTCAAAATTTTGTGTTGTATTTCATGATGGACAGAAATTTGCTTATCCACTCACTTACTGATGGGATTTGTGTTGCTTCCTGTTTGGGGCTCTAATGAAAAAAACATGCTGAACATTCATATATATATCTTTTTTTGGACATGTGTTTTAATTTATCTTTAGTAAATACTTGACAATGATATATCTGGGTCTTCTGGCAAATTTATATCCTGTATTATGTAAATTTTATAAGAAACTGACAACTGTTTTCCAAAAGGATTGTAATATTTTGCACTTCCACTTGCACTGTGTCTTGGAAACATTGGTGTATCAGTCTTTTTTAAAAAATTAGGCATTTTATGGGTGTGCAGTGGAAGCTCATTGTGGTTTTAACTTTCTCTTCCATGGGTTACTAATGATGTTAAGCATCATTTCATGTGCTCATTAACTATAAGCATATCTCATTTGCAAAGAGTATTAAAATATTTTGCCAATTTTTATCATTGGATTATTGGATACAAATCCTCTGTCATACATGTTTATTACAAATATTTTTACCCAGTTGGTGGCTTACCTTTTTATTTTCTTAACCATATATTCAAAAGGGCCAAAGTTTTCTAAACTATATGTTTTTTTTTTTTTTTAAGCTTGCTTTTTGTGGTGTGTGCTTTTGGTGTTTTACCTAAGAAATATTGGCCTATCAATCACATTCTCAAGGATTCTCTCATGTTTTCTTCTACTAATCTTTCACTTCAATACATATGGGCAAAAGATAGCAGGATCAGAGATTTATTCTTTGAAGATGCTTTTCCAGTTTCTTGGTATACAATAAACATTAAATAATCCTTATACTACATGTGTTCTAGCACAAGATTTTCATAGGTTAATTTGAATTTTAACAAGTAATCTCAGATATTTTAACCACTCTTTCTCATTATATGAAAGTCTTATATTTACTCATGTCTTCACTATCATTATAATAAACTTAAAAAATGGATTTATTATCTGTAGGGAGGGTAAGAACGCTTTGCTATAGTACTGAAATGTTTAAAGTAATATTCAAGACTCTCATGAGAGTGGGTTATTATGAAACTTCCCAGGAAGATAATTAGGAGAAGGAGAGAAGTGAAGTATTTAGTTGGGAAGGAGAATAGAAATACCAAGAGAAACAATGTTTCTATTACCTCAGAGACTGGTTCTCTTACCATTGGACTCATCTTTGGCCCTGAGCAAAAAGAATGAGCAAGCAAACATTAAACAAACAAACAAACAAAAAAATCTATTTTAAATAAAATCCCAAGAGACAGATGGGAAATACTACCCTTTGCTTCAGAAATTTCAATGGAATAAACTATGATCTAAGCACACAAAGGTTCCTGCAAAACACCATGCCACCTTATCATATTCAAATCTGCAATACGGCGTTGGTGAAGAGCAGATATCCACAGGCTAAATGAAAATGACACCATACTAAAGGAAAACAACAGCAGGAGGAAGACTAGAACTTCTCTTAGCTCCTATGTGATAGCTCCTTAAAACATACATGAATAACCAAGGACAATTTATCAAGAAATTGGAAAAAGCAGATAAGTGATCTCAATGAAATCTTCAAACTCACCTATCTTTGTACTAACTTAAAGTCAATTAATAGAAGTCATTGTTGATGAGAAAAAATAAGTATACAAAGTTTATTAACAACAACCACAATAAAACCCAAGTGAAAAGTAAGACTTGCAAATCCTAAGAGTTGGTCTACCTCAAAATAAATAATGTGCATGAAAGAAAATATTTTTTGTTACACTAACAGCAACTTTTTTTCTCAAGTTAAATTCAGACAAAAATTTGGGAAAATGGTATATCATCTGTTACTATAAACAATGATTTAAATGTTTAGTTTGAAAATGTGATCGTGCTCAATGGACACTGCTTAATTGACATTGGGCAAAGTACATAGTTGAGAGCTTTGAAACTCAATATTCTGTCACTAAAAAAGCAGAGAAACTGAAGAATTAGAGGCACTATTAATAATCAGAAAATAAAGTTGACATTTTGAGTGTTACATCTTCTCATAACTGCTACTATTATACTTACTATTGATAAATACAATAGTGTACTCGTTTTAATAGCATTGGGAAACACAGTATTCTCTTCTTTATTTTGATGTGAAGAAAGGAAGAACTCTCAATTAATTAACAAACCATTTGTCATTTGGTACTATCAATGTTCTGTGCATACAATTTCCAAGTCAGCCGTGTGTATCTAACAATATAAAATTTAAAATTTAAATTCATTTT